CTCTCCGCACGGGAAGCTGGAGTTGACAGCGGGAGCTCACCCCGCTCCTTTGGGTCAACAGTCCTGCTGGCACAAGGATTTAACCCAGGTATGGGCAAACTGAGCCCCCCCCCCAGGTGTTTTGGTTTTGGACTTCAGCTCCCACAATTCCTGGCCCCAGGTCTCTTCCTTTTCCCCCTCAGCCACTTAAGAGGAAAAGGGATTTTGAATGAAATAATAATAATAATAATAATAATAATAATAATAATAATAATAATAATAATAATTTTACTGACACGTGTTCGACTTGTGATTTTTTTGATACGAAATCCAGCATACAGATCTCGTTTGCTGTGACATACTGTAATTTTGTCTCAGTACAATAATAATAATAATAGTTATTACTAATTATAGTTATTATTATTAATAATAATAATAATTTTACTGACACAAGTGTTCGACTTGTGATTTTTTGATACAAAATCCAGCATATAGATCTCGTTTGCTGTGACATACTGTAATTTTGACTCAGTATAATAATAATAATAATTATTATTATTATTAATTATAGTTAATAATAATAATAATAATAATCTTACTGACACAAGTGTTCGACTTGTGATTTTTTTGATACAAAACCCAGCATATAGATCTCGCTTGCTGTGACATACTGTAATTTTGTCTCAGAATATTATTATTATTATTATTATTATTATTATTATTATTATTATTATATTCCTCCCTCTCTCTCTCATTCGGGTCGGATTCCAAAAATAAAAGGCGAACATCCAGTGCCCCAACACAACAACACAGCCATAGTAATTTGGTAACCTAAGATATAATAACTAATTAGGAAATGGCATATATCACCCAGGAACAAAAACTCATGTTACTTAGTGTGATCTGGATTATATGGCGGTGTAGTGGTGCGCAACTACATTCCTTCCACAGTGTAAAGCAGGCCTGGGCCAACTTCGGCCTTCCCCCCAAATGGGTTAAACTCTTGTGCCAGCAGAACTGAAGAGCGACAGGTTGGAGGTTCTAATTGGGGAGAGAGTGGGGATGAGCTCCCTCTGTCAACTCCAGCTCCCAGAGAAGACTCCCACAAGGATGGTAAAACATCAAAACATTTGGACATTCCCTGGGTGTAAGACATAAGGAGCGAGGCTTGGAAATGATCTTCGGGAGAAAAGTTGGTGGTGGATGCTACTGGTTTTCCCCCAGGTTTGTGGCTTTTCGGTGTCCTGACTCTTAGAATCCTGGAACCTTGAATCTGGACTGGCTTTGGATTAGGGTATAGACCAGGGGTCCTCAGATTTTTTTTTTAAAACAGAAGGCCAGGTCACAGTCTCTCACACCAGAAGCTACTTGCAGTTTCTCAAGTCGCTCCTGACATGAAAAAAAATGGACTTTTCCAGTTGCCAGTCCAAAACACCTGGAGGGAGGGCCGCAGTTGGCCCAGGCCATGGTTGGAGACAACAGAGTCCTTCCACTTCTTTCCTTTGGGACAGTAGTTCTCAGTCTTTGAGTCCCCAGTTGTTTTGGCTTCAACTCCCATAAAGCCTAACAGCTGGTAAACTGGCAGGGATTCCTGGGAGTTGTAGGCCAAAACACCTGGGGACCCACAGGTTGAGAAGCACTGCTTTGGGATGATTGGAAGCCTAACAGGGCCCCCTTCTGCCTGCCTGTCTGGATGACTCAATCTCTGGGCCCTTCCAAACTGCCCCATATATATTAGGCCTATTCAGTGCATGGTTCTAAATGGTTCTATAGTATTTTCAAAACTAAAGTTTTGGTGGCGAAAATTTCAGAACTCTAACAAAACTCTCAAAATTTCATTATAAATGGCAGTTCCTAATTGGTTCTGTCATAAAAATCACCAATAATGAAATAATAATCAAATTTTGAAAGAGTTCTGAAATTTTCACCACCAGAACTTTAGTTTTGTAAGTACTTTAGAATCGGGTTGTTGTAGGTTTTCTGGGCTATATGGCCATGTTCTAGAGGCATTTTCTCCTGACGTTTCGCCTGCATCTATGGCAAGCATCCTCAGAGGTAGTGAGGTCTGTTGGAAGTAAGAAAATGGGTTTATATATCTGTGGAAAGACCAGGGTGGGACAAAGGACTTTTGTCTGCTGGAGCTAGGTGTGAATGTTTCAACTGATCACCACATTCAATGACCACATTGAAACATTCACACCTAGCTCCAGCAGACAAAAGTCCTTTGTCCCACCCTGGTCTTTCCACAGATATATAAACCCATTTACCTACTTCCAACAGACCTCACTACCTCTGAGGATGCTTGCCATAGATGCAGGCAAAACGTCAGGAGAAAATGCCTCTAGAACATGGCCATATAGCCCAGAAAACCTACAACCACCCAGTGATTCCGGCCATGAAAGCCTTCGACAATACTTTAGAACCATTTAGCACCATGCAATGAACAGAATCATAGAGTTGGAAGAGACCTCATGGGCCATCCAGTCCGACCCCCTCCCAAGAAGCAGGAAAATTGCATTCAAAGCACCCCCACAGATGGCCATCCAGCCTCTGTTTGAAAGCTTCCAAAGAAGGAGCATCTCGGTGATATATATATATATATAATATCACCCAGACTATTGGCTTGGCAGATAACCCACCACAATTTTCAATTGTTGGTCTCTCTTTGGGATGTGGGCCTCTCACAGCCTAGGAGATTTCCTGCATCCTGCTGTTCTGTGTATCTCAAAAGCCAAAGCTCTCCTGACATCCCAAGGGTGTCCTGACCGCTCCAAGGAAGAGGGAAGGATTTGGAGAAGGATGGGAAAACTACCTCCTGGGACATATCTGTAGGAGCCGGAGATTACCTTAGCTAGTGAATCAGAAGAGGGCTCATCTGCCCAAAATTCGAGGTCAGCTTCCAGGTAATGAAGCTAAGAAGCTAATGGAGCTAAGAATGGAGCTAGGATGGTATTTACATAAGAGATGGGACATGTCTGTAGAGGCCAAGGGCCCAAACAGAAGCTTAGTCAAAAAGAAAGCATAGTCTCCAAGCTCCAAGAGGGGGCAAAGAGGGCACCCTTGACATGTCTTATGTTCTGTAACTCATGGTGGTTGGTGATGGAAGAGTTAATGTACATATTAGTTCTAAAGGGTTTAGTAATCTGTAAGTAAGAGTTCATGGGTGAAAGCAATGAAGGGTGGAGGTATGCAAGAGATAGGTTGTTTCTAGATATAAGGAGCGAGGCTTGGAAATGATCTTCGGGAGAAAAGGATTTGTCATATTTTGGTGGTGGGTGCTGCTGGTTTTCCCCCAGGTTTGTGGCTTTTTGGTGCCCTGACTCTTGGAATCCTGGAACCTTGAATTTGGACTGGCTTTGGATTAGGGTATAGACCAGGGGTCCTCAGATTTTTGAAACAGAAGGCCAGGTCACAGTCTCTCAAACTGTTGGAGGGCCGGATTATAATTTGAAAAAAAAAATGAATTAATTCATATGCACACAGCACATATCTTATTTATATTGCAAAAAAAAAAAACACCCCACTTTAAAACAATACAATAATTAAAATGATGAACAAATTTAAGAAATATAAACTTATTAGTATTTCAATGGGAAGTGTGGGTCGTCTATGGGCTGATGAGATAAGATTGTTGTTGTTGTGCTTTCAAGTCATTTCCGACTTGAGTGAGGGAGGGTAAATGGCCTTGGAAGGCCGTATCAGCCCCCTGGCCTTAGTTTGAGGACCCCTGGTATAGACTCTTGATCCTTGGACTTTGCTCATTGAATTCTTGGCATTTGACTGGACCCTTTGACTATGGCAGGGGTCCTCAAATTTTTTAAACAGAGGGCCAGGTCACAGTCTCTCAAACTGTTGGAGGGTGGGATATATATTTGAAAGAAACATGAATTAATTCCTACGCACACTGCACATATCTTATTTGTAGTGCGAAAACACTTAAAAACAATAAAATAATTAAAATGAAGAACATTTTTTAACAAAAATAAACTTATTAGTATTTCAGTGAGAAGCGTGGGTCTGCTTTTGGCTGATGAGATAGCATTGTTGTGATTGTGTGCTTTCAAGTCCTTTCAGACTTAGACTGATCCTGAGCGAGGGCCGGGTAAATGACTTTGGAGGGCCATATTCGGCCTCCAGGTCTTAGTTTGAGGACCCCTGGACTACGGTGTAGCTTTCGCTATCAGTTTTTGTTTATTCTGTGGCTGAGTGCTATCTTTGTTTTATATTTTGGACTATTGAAACAGCCAGATAGTAAGTGCTGTTTTAATTAAATTGTATTAACACAAACTGGATGTTTGTTTGATTCACCTCTGCCTGAAATAATGATTGATTTGCTGTGACATACTGTAATTTTGTCTCAGTATTATATTCCTCCCTCTCTCTCTCTCTAGTTCCCGGAGGGACTCGGGGCGGATTCCAAAAATAAAAGGCGAACATCCAGTGCCCCAACACAACAACACAGCCATAGTAATTTGGTAACCTAACATATAATAACTAATTAGGAAATGGCATGTATCACCCAGGAACAAAAAATCGTGTTATTAGTGTGATCTGGATTATATGGCGGTATAGTGGTGCCCAACTGCATTCCTTCCACAGTGTAGAGCAGGCCTGGGCCAACTTCGGCCTTCCATGTGTTGTTTTAATTAAATTGTATTAACACAAACTGGATGTTTGTTTGATTCACCTCTGCCAATTAAATTGTATTAACACAAACTGGATGTTTGATTCACGTCTGCCTGAAATAACGATTGAAACAGCCAGACAGTAAGTGCTGTTTTAATTAAATTGTATTAACACAAACTGGATGTTTGTTTGATTCACCTCTGCCGGAAATAACAACAGAGCCCTAGCATTGTGACAACTTTAAGCAAAAGCCCAAACAGAGTCAGGGGGAATCCGCTTTCCTTCTAAACCAAGAGATGTCCATTCCAAGGACGCAGGGGAGAGGCCCGCATCATCCGAAAGAGAGACCAAACATTCAAAATAGGTCGAAGGCTTTCATGGCTGGAATCACTAGGTTCTTGTGGGTTTTTTTCGGGCTATAGGGCCATGTTCTAGAGGCATTTCTCCTGACGTTTCGCCTGCATCTATGGCAAGCATCCTCAGAGGTAGTGAGGTCTGTTGGAATTAGGACAATGGGTTTATATATCTGTGGAATGGCTGGGGTGGGACAAAGAGCTCTTCTCTGCTGGAGCTAGGTGTGAATGTTTCAACTGACCACCTTCATTAGCATTTGAAGGCCTGGCTGAGCCTGGCAAAATCTTTTGTTGAGAGGTGTTAAGATGTGCCTGGTTGTTTCCTCTCTGCTGTTTTGCTGTTGTAATTTTAGAGTTTTTTAATACTGGTAGCCAGTATATGTTTGCCATAGATGCAGGCGAAACGTCAGGAGAAATGCCTCTAGAACATGGCCCTATAGCCCGACAAAACCCACAAGAACCTATTCAAAATAAGGATTCTGTGAAATAATTTTCTGGCTTGGCTTTACACAAAAAAGTCTGCCCATATTAATGGTAAATCGGTAGAGATTGAGGCCTGGGCACACTTGGGCCCTCCCTCCACCTATTTTGGACTTCAACTCCGAAACTTCAAGTTGTAAAACCCCTGGAGGGAGGGGTGTAGTTGACCCAGGCCAGGGATGGAGACAACAGAGTCCTTTCCCTCCTTTCCTTTGAGTTTTGGGAGTATTGGAGCCAAACAGGGTCCCGTTCTGCCTGCCTGCCTGTGTGTGTGTCTCAACCTTGTTGCCCTTCCAAACTGCCGCATGTATATAGCTATCACCCAGAGTACGGAGGCAGATAACCCACAATACCTGCTTGGGGGCGGACTAGCTGAGTCCCGTTCAGTGTGGATTGTCAAGAGGGCCGAGTGAGTGTACCTGTGGGGCTCAGTACTTGGCGCAGTCGTAGGCGTAGGGCCCTCCGGTGGCGGCGTGCCTGTAGAGTGGGGCCGGACCTCCACCGGGGCGGTGGAACTGTCCCTGGCAAGCGGGGCCCGGGCTGCTTTGGGCCTCTCCCAGCGGGGGCGCGGGGGCCTCCAGGCCCATGCGGTGCGGGTGGAAAGCCTCGCGGAGGTTGTTCTGGAAGCCCTGGGCCGCGAAAGGCGCACCCAGCTCCGGGTTCAAGTACCAGGCTGCTACTGCTTGCCCTCCTCCTCCGTTGCTCCCTCCTCCTCCGCTTTGGTGATGATGCCCAGCCAAGTGGGAGTGGGGGTGATGGTGCTGGTGGTGGGGATGATGGTGCTGCGGGTGCCCTTCCTGCTGCGTGGGCAAGCTGAGGCCGTTGCTTTGCGTCTGGTCGGAAAGAGCTGCCTCTTCCGAAGAGGCGCCGCCGGTGAACAGGCTCATGGCTCTCATGCTGCACTGGTAGCCCGTGGTTCCTGCCTCGCCCAAAGCTTGGCTACAGGCCTGGTTGTAAAGCGACGAGGCGGCGGCTTGGCTCTGCCCGTACACCACAGGCAACGCGGAGGCTCGGAGCTCCCCCGACGGAGAGGCGCCGCGCAAAGTCATGATGTTCTCCACGCTGAAGCCGTTGGAAGGGTGCGACGAATGGTGAGGATGGTGGTTCTGGTGGTGGTGGTGCCCTTCGCCTTGCAAAGAGCCCTCCGTGGACCCCGAGGGTGTGGAGGCTACGCTGCGGGGGCTCTCTTGTCCGAAGCGGGACGCGGGGCTCAAAGTCTCCACTTTGGTCACTACCGGCAGCTCCGGAGAGGACGAGACTTCGCTTTTGATCACGATCTTCCCTTCCGGCGCGACGATATTCGAGGAAGCAGACTGGTTGGGTTTGGAGGGAGCTGCGTCTTCGCTTTTGGCGAGCACGGATTCGGCTTTCCCTGCTCCTCCTCCTCCGGAGATCCTCTCCTCCTTCTCTTTGGAGACGTCTTTCTTCTTGAAGCGCCTCCGCCTCCGGAGGAAAGAGCCGTTCTCGAACATGTTGTAGGAATCCGGGTCCAGAGTCCAATAGCTGCCCTTCCCGGGCTTCTTATCGTCGCGGGGCACCTTCACGAAGCACTCGTTGAGCGACAGGTTGTGCCGGATGGAGTTCTGCCAGCCCTGCTTGTTCTCCCGGTAGAAGGGGAAGCGCTCCATGATGAACTGGTAGATGCCGTTGAGGGTGACCTTCTTCTCGGGCGCGTTCTGGATGGCCATGGTGATGAGGGCGATGTAGCTGTAGGGGGGCTTCACCAGGTCCTTGGGGGCGGCGGGAGGGGCGGCCGGGTGGTGGTAAGGCCCGTAGGAGCGCGCCAAGGCCGGCCCGTACTGCTCCGGAAAGACCCCCAGCGAGCCCGAGACCCCCGGCCCGTACGAGCCCGGCGCCCGCGCGTGGTAGTAGTTGGCCTCGCTCAGGTAGGGCACCACGCCCAGCGCGTTGGGGTCCGACACCGAGTAGCGCGCCTGCATCCTGTCTTCCCGAGAAGGGCCCGCAATCCGAATCAGGCTCCGGAAAAGAAGGGGGGCGCCCTTTAAACGCCGAGCCTGCGCCCCGCCATCCCGCTCTCGGCCTTTCTCCTCTTCGAACTCAATTCCGAATCGTTTGGTTAAGAGGAACCAGTGTAGGAATCGTCCTCCCCCTACCCTGTGGGGTTATCCTCCTTCTCCTCCTCGAACTCAATTCTGAATCGCTTGGTTAAGGGAAATCACTCAGTGTAGGAATCGTCCTCCCTCTGCCCTGTGGGGTTCTCCTCCTCTTCCTCCTCGAACTCAATTCCGAATCGCTTCGTTAAGAGGAATCAGGGTGGGAATCGTCCTCCCTCTGCCCTGTGGGGTTCTCCTCCTCCTCCTCCTCTTCAAACTCAATTCCGAATCACTTGGGAAGGGAAATGGAATCAGGTAGGAATCGTCCTCCTTCTTCCCTGTGGGGTTCTCCTCCTCCTTCTCTTCGGACTAAATTCCGGATTGCTTGGAAGTTTGTAATTGTCCTCCCCCGGCACTCGGACTCGAGGGACCCCCAAAGACCCTCCAAAGATCCTGCTTTGGTTTCCCTTTCCTCTTTGCTGTCCCAAACTTGAGTGGGGGGAAAGAAGAAGGAAACAGCCCCCCAAACGTCCCGGATGGTCCTTCCCAACCGATAGTTGTTTCCAACTCGCTTCAGGGGACCCCAAAGACCCCACCTCAAGTCCTCCTCAGGTTGGAGGTTTGTAATAGTCCTTGCCGGCACTCGGACTCGAAGGGACCCCCAAAGACCCCCAAGAGAGGATTCTCTTTCCTTCCTTCTTACTTTCTCCTTCCAAGGATGTGTCACAAATGGGTGGAGAGAAGGAAACAAAGCTACAAACGTCCCGGATGGTTCTTCCCGACTGCTCGCTCTTTTCAACTCGCTTCAGGGGACCCCAAAGACTCTCCCCAAGTCCTTCTCAGGTTGGAGGTTTGTAATTGTCCTTGCTGCCAGTCGGACTCGAAGAGACCCCCCAAAGACCCTCCCAAGAGGGGGTTCTCTTTCGCTCCAAGGAGAGGCGTTGCTTCTGCTTTCCTTCCTTCTCACTTTCTCCTTCCAAGGATGTGCCCCAAACGTGGGGGGGGGGGGGGGGAGGAAACAAACCTCCAAACGTCCCAAATGCTCGCTCTTCCCAACTCGCTTCAGGGGACCCCAAAGACCCCCCCTAGTCCTCGCTTGGTCTGGCCAAAGGGACTCACAACAATCCTCGGCTGCTGCTTCCCTCTCCTGGCAAAAGGGACGCGTGCCAGTCCTTCTTGGGAGCCAAACGCACGAGGAAGGAAACGCACGAGGAAGCTTCCCTCCGAGGCGGAAAAGAGAAGGAGGTGGAAGAGGAAGAGAAGTCTCCAAGCGGGATCAGGTGATGGGCGGCTTTCCCCCGCTGATTCCTCCGGGTTCAAGAGGAAGAGGAAGACGCGGAGCCCCTCCGGCTGGGAGCGGAGCGCGAGGCAGGCCACCTCTCTCTTTCCTTCCTTCCCTCTCTCTCTCTCTCTCTCCCCCTCCGAGGCCCCGGCGAAAACTTTTCCCAACTTCGCTCGCCCAGTTTTGACTCCTCGCATGGCCCCGCCCCCGGGCTCCGCGCTCGGCCAATGGGAGGCGCTGGAGGGCCCCGCGCGAGCCAATGGGAGGAGGAGGCGCCCCAGCAAGGCCACAAGGACCCGCCACACAAGGAAGGCGCGCCGGCCTTTCGAGCACTCCATTGACTCCCCTTGAAGGGCCAGAGCGCAGAATATCAAGGCAGAAAACCCCACAATCTCCGCTTCCAATTGGGTTATCTGTGTCCACACTCAGAGCCCTTCCACATACTCTCTATCCCAGAATATCAAGGCAGGAAATCCCACAATAGCCGCTTCCAAATGGGTTATCTGCGTCCACACTCAGGACCCTTCTACACAGCCCTCTATCCCAGAATATCAAGGCAGAAAACCCCACAATCTCCGCTTCCAACTGGGTTATCTGCGTCCACACTCAGGACCCTTCTACACAGCCCTCTATCCCATAATATCAAGGCAGAAAACCCCACAATCTCCGCTTCCAACTGGATTATCTGTGTCCACACTCAGGCCCCTTCCACACAGCCCTATATGCCAGAATATCTTGATCCCACATTCTCTGAGTATGGACTCAGATAATCCAGCTCAAAGCAGATATTGTGGGATTTTCCGCCTTGATCTTCTGGGTTATATTGTTGTGTAGAAGGTCCTTAATTGGGGTAATGCTCAGGGAGGCCTCCCCGCACTACAACTCCCAGAGTGCCAGAGTATGGAACCAATATAATAATAATAGTAATAATAATAATAATAATGAGAATAATGCTCAGGGCGGCCTCTCCGTACTACAACTCCCAGAGTGCCAGAGTATTGAACCAATATAATAATAATAATAATAGTAAATAATAATAATAATAATAATAATAATAATAATAATAATGCTCAGAGCGGCCTCTCCGCACTACAACTCCCAGAGTGCCAGAGTATTGAACCAATATAATAATAATAATAATAATAATAATAATAATAATAGTAATAGTAAATAATAATAATAATAATAATAATAATAATAATAATAATGRTCAGAGCGGCCTCCCCGCACTACAACTCCCAGAGTGCCAGAGTATGGAACCAATATAATAATAATAATCGTAAATAATAATAACCTAATATATCACATAGTATTATTCATTATCTGAGTGTGGACTCAGAGCACTTCCACACAGCCATAATATCAAGGCAAGAAATCCCACAACATCTGCTTTGAACTGAGTTATCTGAGTCCACACTGAGTCCACACAGTGCCACCGGGGCTGTGGCACAGCTGGGAGTCAGTTACATTAAGATCACTACTGACCAAAAGGTCATGAGTTCAAAGCCAGGTCGGAGTGAGCTTCCGACCAATTTGTGTAGCTTGCCGTCGACCTTTGCAGCCCAAAAGACAGTTGCATCTGTCAAGTAGGAAATTTAGGTGTCGCTTCTGCCGGGAGGCTAGTATGCGGGGAAGCTAATTTACCACGCCATAAAAATCTCCAGCAAGCATGCAAAGAATGAGGAAGTACTTCCTCATGTCACAAATTTACGGTGAAGCGACAGCTCCCCTGGTGGCCAGAATACCCTCATGAAAAAGCTGGAATGCTAAATAGCCTCTGTGTGCCTGTCTATATATGTTGAGTGTCTATGGCATTGAATGTTTGCCATATGTACATTGTAATCCTCCCTGAGTCTCCTGCAGGGTGAGAAGGGCGGAATATAAATACTGTAAATAAATAAATAATGTGGAGTTTTCTGCCTTATTATTCTGGGATATAGGGCTGTGTGGAAGGGCCCTCAGTTACCAACACAATAGAGAAGTTGAGCAGCTAAAATGCATTAAAATGGGCATGTGCTTTGCTGCCATCCTTTAATATTCCTTCTTTTCGTGTCAGGAGAGAGTTGAGAAACTACAAGTCGCTTCTGGTGTGAGATCATGTGATCTTGATTATGCTGCCTCTCTTTCTGTATTATGTATGTATTTAAGAGCCTTTTCCCCAAGCAAAAGCCCAAGGCGGCTTTCAACCAAGCAAACATACAATTTCAAAGTTAAAGCTAAATTAAAGCATAAATATATTTATGGTTTGAAGAGCTATTTTTAAATATAGATTTTAACTATTCCGTTCAATCAATGATTCCTGGCTGATTGATTGATAATCTTTGAGCCAAAGTCGCTTGCTTTGTTTTAACTGTATGCGTAAATGTATTATTATTATTATTATTATTATTATTATTATTATTATTATTATTAGACATGCTGTAAACTAGGCATGGGCAAACTTGGGCCCTGCCTCCAGGTGTTTTGGACTTCAACTCCCACAATTCCTAACAGTTTGCCACAGACCTCACAACCTCTGAGGATGCCTGCCAGAATTGTGGGCAAAACGTCAGGAAAGAATGCTGCTGGAACATGGCCATACAGCAACCCAGGAACTCCCTATATCTCAAAATAGTACTAGTAATAATAATAATAATACTATAATAATACTAATGAATTATTCAAAGTGGCTAGCTACTAAGTGGGGTATTAATAATAATACTATAATAATAAAGAATAACTCAAAGCCGCTACTAAGCAGGGAAATAATAATAATTTTATAATAATAATAATAATAATTAATAATAATGATAATTAAAAGCAGCTATTACTGTAATAATAATAATAATAATAATAATAATAATAATACTATAATAATAATAAATAACTCAAAGCGGCTACTAAGCAGGGAAATAATAATAATTTTATAATAATAATAATAATAATAATAATAATAATAATTCAAAGCAGCTACTACTGTAATAATAATAATAATAATAATAATAATAATATCAAGTAGTTAAAGAGGTGTTTTCTTCCTCCAATGCTTTCTTCCATTAGCCTAGATGTAAGTCCCATCTACACTGCTATGCAAAATCCAGATTATCTACGTGGAATCGGATTATATGGCAGTATGGACAGTTTAGAACAGTTTCATTCATATATAAATCCATATATATATATATATCCAGATATATATCCAGATATATATCCAGATTATCTGCGTTGAACCGGATTATATGGCAGTATAGACTCATATAATCCGGTTCAAAGCGGAACATCTGGATTTCATATGGCAGTGTAAATAGGCCCTTAGAGAGCAATCCACTGGGGATGGAAGTGTGTGTATGTATGTATAGATTTACACATACACACATATGCACATATGTGTGTGTGTGTAATAGGCTATATATTGGCAAACTCAAATATATACAATATGCAAAGGGATCTTGAGAACCTTTGCATGCAGATGAACACTCCTAAAGCGACCAGAAAGAGAAATTAAACCTTCTGTTAACAAGAATAAGAACAAATCTCGGTTTCGGGGTTCCTCTGAGCATGTTAAGAGTTGAATCCAATGGTTAAGGAAGGTGGCCGAAGGACAAAGAGAAGGAGAACCAAAGGACTGCTGCAGCCGTATTTTCTTTTCCGAAAGATGAAGGAAAACCCCAACGATTCCCTGTTTCCCTCCCCGTTTGCTTTTGCAGAAGGAAGGCTGTTTTCTCTTCACACCTGGGTCCTAAACCCCGTTCACACTTTGCTTAACAGCTGTAATTACAGGAAAGGAAGGAAAGGAAAGTAAAGTAAAGTAAAGGAAA